AAGCTACAAATATAGTACGAGGGGGTCCGATACACTCTTTACCAACATTCATCAATTGTTTACATTTCATCCCATTTGCTTTATTATCCTCTCTTTTTGTGTGTATGTATATGTAAAATTCATTTGTGAATAAATTGAGGTATGTGCCCTTTAGCCATAGTTTCCTTTAACACAAATGCAGTAGTTAATCAAAACAAGGAGATTATATTAGGTTGGTGCAAAAGTAATTGCAGTTTTGCATTACTTTCAATGGCAAAAACCGCAATTACTTTTGCACCAACCTAATAGATACACTACTGTTATCTAATCCACTATGTTCAGATTTTATCAGCTGTCCCAATAGTATGCTATATAACTGTCTCCCTGCCCCTCAGTCCAGGGTCCGCTCTAGGATCACATGTAGGATTTATGTGTTATACCTATTTGGTCTTCTTTAACCTGACACATTTCCTCAGTCTTTGTGTTTCTGATATATTTAAAGAGTATACAGGCCAGTTATTTTGTAGAAAATTTCAAAGTTTGAGTTTTTTTGGGGTTTTCCCAAGATTAGTTTCAGGTTTTGCATTTTTGGCAAGTATATCACTGATATTGTATTTTCTCAGTTCACCATGCGATATATATGATAATGCTTTCTCTCAAAACTGGTAATGTTAGCTTTGATTACTTGATTAAGGTAATGTCTGCCAGGTTTTACTACTGTTATTATTTTCCCTTTTGTAATAAGTAATTTGTGCCAGGCTATTTTGACATTATGTAGTAACCTCTTTCTTTACCAAATCTACCATACCAGTTTTTTTTGTTTTTTTTGTTTTTTTTTTTTTGAGACAGAGTTTCACTCTTGTTACCCAGCCTGGAGTGCAATGGCGTGATCCCCGCTCATCGCAACCTCCGCCTCCTGGGTTCAGGCAATTCTCCTGCCTCAGCCTCCTGAGTAGCTGGGGATTATAGGCATGTGCCACCATGCCCAGCTAGTTTTTTGTATTTTTAGTAGAGACGGGGTTTCACCATGTTGACCAAGATGGTCTTGATCTCTTGACCTCGTGATCCACCTGCCTCGGCCTCCCAAAGTGCTGGGATTACAGGCGTGAGCCCCTACGCCCGGCCACCATACCAGTTTTATATCCATTTATGATTTTCCCACTTCCTTATTCTTTATTTATTAATCAGCATTCTACTATAAGGAAGAACTTTCCCCTTCACCCTCATTTATTTACGTCAGTGTGAATTCATGGGTTATTTTATTCAGTGAGCTATAATGCATTGCTATTAAATTGTCCCTGATTTGTCCAGTGGGAACCCTTCCAAGATGGAGGCTGTGTTCTTTTGATATTTTCCCATTACTTTTTGGGAAATTTCTTTGTTTAGGGCACCAGAATGTTCCAGGTTCAATTTACGCCTTTTGGGCTCTTGCTCAGTAATAAGCCATTTCTCCAAAGAGCTTTGATTACTTTTTGTAAGCCTTTGAAATTTAATCTGGAGGTAATGAGTAACCACTGACACTCTGGGTGTGTGGCATGATCCAAATCAATGTTTTTAAAAAAGACTACTTTGTTTCCGATGGATGTGGTGATGTCACCCTCTCTCGGGCCGCGACCGATCCACGGTGGGCGAGGGATGGACATTCGTGGTGAATGGGACCGCTCTTCTCATCCTGCCTGCAGGGACCCCTTGCCTCTCTTCCCTGCCTGTGAGGGCTGTGTTGGGAGGCATTGGGGTACAGAATCCCGCCTGACTTTTTCTTTTTTAATTCCCAAATGAAAAGAATAAAAAAATTAAAAAATAAAAATAAAAAAGACTACTTTGGTAATAGTGTGTAGAAAACATTGAGTTATGAAACTAGTCATAGAAAGAATAATTATTAGATTATTAGTCTTTTCTAGTAATTTAAACAAGCCATAATGTGGGTCTAAAAACACTGTCAATGAAGGGGGAACAAATAACTTTACACTGGAGAAACCTGGTGTGTACTACCTCAGCCAGGTGATCAAGGTCAACGTCAATAGTGATGATCTGTTGATAGTTTGTACCCTTAATATGAGATAATGAAAATGGCATTTATCTCTGTGGTCTTCCTCCTGAAAACCCAATAACCCCAGTATAATCATGAGAAAAACATGAAACAAATCCCATTTGAAGGACATAATGGTCCCATTTGAAGGTCACATAATGATAACTACAAAATACCTGACCAGTACTCCTCAAAACCGTGAAGGTACTTATCAAAACTGTCATGGGCTTTAGGTAACAGCAGTGTGTTAATATTGATTCATTAATTATAACAATGTATGATACTACTGTAACATGTTAATAATAGAGGAAACTGGGATGGGATACATGGATTCTCTGTACTATCTTCACAGTCTTTTTGTAAACTGAATACTTTTTTTAAAAAAAGTTTATTCAAAAACACTATCAGTGGAGTTAAATAAGTAGGGTTTATTTTTAGGCGTGTAAATGAGTGATATTTTTACATAATGCATGATGGTAACTTCTTCAGAGTAGTCATTTGTGAAGGCTATAAGCTTATTTCAGTAGTGCAGCGGTTCAAAGTGTTTTGCAGCTCTTCAGAGTCTTTAGTAAATTCTTTCGGCTATTTACAGTCTTTTAAAACAGTGGTCCCCAGCCTTTTTGACACTAGGGACCGCTTTTGTGGAAGACCATTTTTCTGCTCATGGGAGTTGGGGGTATTGCTTCAGGATGAAACTGTTCCACCTCACCACAGATCATCAGGCATGAGATTCTCATAAGGAGCACACAACCTAGACCCCCGACATGCACAATTCACAGTAGGGTTTGCACTCCTGTGAGACTCTAATGCTGCCGCTGATCTGACAGGAGGCAGAGCTCAGGCAGTAATGTTCACTTGCCTGCCATTCACCTCCTGCTCTGCCAACTCGGTTCCTAACAAGCCACGGACTGGTATTGGTCCATGGCCCAGGGGCTGGGGACCCCTGTTTTAAGATATACTTTAGTGAGAGACAGAATAATGTAGCAGTCAAGGCTGTGACTGTACGGAAGTTTCTCAAGCTTTCTAAACCCCAAAGTAGGTATAACAACTTACATTAAAAAGTTATTGTGAGCTAAATGAGATAAGTAATAGATTTCTATCCTTTGAGGGAGAATTTTGTTTTTGAAAGCAGCTATAAGTTATTTGGAACCTGATCTGGCATATATTTAGAGTAAACGTGGTACTGATACTTCTTGTCAAGAGCAAGATAGAAAAATTTGGTGGTACCAGTTTTTGTGTGGCCTATACATTTTTATAAAGATAATTTTAGACTTACAATAGAGTTGGATTATCATGCTTACTCTCCTCCTACCACAGAGGTGATATGCCGTTTTCAGTACATCTTTTTTTAATGGTTTATCACTTTTTTGGGGGGCAAGGGGAAGGGTCTTGCTCTATTGCCCAGGCTGGAGTGCAGTGGTGATCACGGCTCACTGCAACCTTGACCTCCATGGCTCAAGCAATCCTCCCACCTCAGCCTCTCAGTACCTGCAACTACAGGCATGCCCCCACCGCATCTGGCTAATTTTCATATTTTTTGTAGAGACTGGGTTTCACCATGTTGCCCAGGCTGGTCTTGAACTCCTGGCCTCTAGCAATTGGCCCACCTCAGCCCTCTGTGCTGGGATTAGAGATGTGAGCCACTGTGTTCCAGTGTCATGTTTTAAATTATTTTTATTTTTTAATAATTTCAACCTTTCTTTTTGAGACAGAGTCTCACTCTGTCGCTTGTGCTGGAGTACAGTGGCACGATCTTGGCTCACTGCAACCTCTGCCTCCTGGGTTCAAGCTATTCTCCTGCCTCAGCCTCCTGAGTAGCTGGGACTACAGGTGCATGCCACCACGCCTGGCTAATTGTTGTATTTTTAGTACAGACAGGTTTTCACCATGTTGGTCAGGCTGGTCTCAAACTCCTGACCTCGTGATCTGCCTGCCTCGGCCTCCCAAAGTGCTGGGATTAGAGGTATGAGCCACTGTGCCCAGTGTCATGTGTTAAATTATTTTTATTTAAAAATAATTTTGACCTTTATTTTAAAGTCAGGGGGTACCTGCTCATATTTCTTTCATGGGCATATTGCATGATGCTGAGGTTTGAGATATGAATGATCCCATCACCCAGATAATGAGCATAGTACCCAATGGTTAGTTTTTCAAACCTTGTCCTCCTCTTTCTCCTCCCCACTTTAGTCCCCAGTGTCTGTTGTTCCTTTCTTTATGTCCATGAGCACCCAGTGTTTAGATCCTAGTTGTAAGGGCGAACATGGGTTTTTGGTTTTCTGTTTCTATGTTAATTCACTTAACTCAGTACATCTTAACAAGGTTACATGATGTCAGTATGTATTACTGGTGATGTTAACTTTATTCAGTTTAGGAGCAGTCTGCCAGGATTCTGTACTATAAATTTAGTATTTTCCTTTAACACTTACATTTTAGGAGAGAGAATTTGAGACTATGCTTAAACTTTCACTCACTAATTTTAGCATCCATTAGTGATTCCTCCCTCAGTAGTTATTACTGTAGAATTCTAATGGTGATTTTTATCTTTACCTTATTCCTCCTATGTCTGTTAATTGGAATTCTTCTGTAAGGAAGAGTTGTCTGCTTTCCCTCATTAAAATTTTTAAAGTCAGTGTTGGTACCAGGATTTTTAAGTTAAGAGCCAGTTGAACCTATAGATATGTTTTAATTTGAGGAGAAAGATTAGATGGTTTATTTGTAAGTTTAGGGCTGAATAGAATCTGTAAACTCAGTTGTATTTTGTATTTTATACATTTTACTTTCTAAATTTTCTTTTAGTGTGGTTTTTGTTTTTGTCATTTGTAAAGTTATATTTTTTATAAGAACTCATGAAATTGCATGATTTTTCTCACATCAAATATCTCCAAGTTATAAGAAACTAAAGAAATTGTATTTTTATGTTCATATGTATTTTTAAATTTTGTAATTTAATAACTACTTTTGAATGAAAACATTCTTTTTTTCCCTTTCTTAGGCTTGAAAAGGAATACACTACAATAAAAACAAAAGAAATGGAAGAGCAAGTTGAAATTAAAGTAAGCATTTTGGGGCTTTTTTAAGTACTGAAGATTGACTGAAATCAATTATTGGATGGTAGATGTTAGTTTAAAGTTTGTACTTATATTCATAAATTTATTTACTATCCTACCAGATTTAGTTGAAAATAGACATTTCAGAAAAGCAGAATAACGTGACTAAAGTGGCTTTCATTCCAGTGTGAAGGAAAGCAAGCTCTTCCCTTTTCTAGATTTATTGGTGGCTCATCAGGAGAAAATACTTCCATGGAGAAGACAATTATCATTCCATTTAAGCATGTTTTTTTAAAGTTGCAGAGAAGACAATCTATAATAACACTTTCTAAGCTGAGACCAACAAGAGTATAATCTCAGCCAAACATTAAATAGAGCACATTATTACACTAGAATTAATTATGGCTGCTCTAGAGCTACAGAAAGCTTTGACTGGTACAACTTTTTCTTCTCTAAGCAAGGTTTATACTTTTGAACTACTTCTCTCCAGAAAATCAAGGAGAGCTTCAATTCAAAGGGCATATAAATATCATATATATACTCTAAAAATATAAAGTTTGTACCCCCCCCCCCCCAGTAAGCCAAAGAATTCTTGAGTTGGGGGTCTGTGGCACTCTTGGAGTTGGGACTTGAGAAAAGTTGTGTTGGCTTTTAGGCTGATATTGCAGGATGGAGATGATAAGTGGAAGCATGAGTCAAAGAACTTACTGACTGGCTAATTTAATTTCTAATCTCTTTATTCCCCTCCACCCCCCCCCAAGCCCCTGGAGGAAAGGGTTAAATGTAAAATAATTTTAATGGAATGACTCCCTCCTTCCTTTTTAAACTTTATGTTTGAATGTTTCCGATTTTTGACTCGGACCTGGCAAGACATATGACCACCTTATTTATAATCAGCCATATGTTAATTGAGCCTTGCTATAAAATAACACTCGCATCCCACAGGCTCCTTTTGCAAGGGAATGGGTTCTGTTAAACTAATACTCTTCCTGCCGTGGCCCTCCTCGAAAGCCTCCAGGGAAACAGTCTCTCCAGTTTTCTTATGTTACCTCTCTCTTACCAACTCTGCCCTCCCTTTTCTAGAGGTTCTATTCCCATTTCTATCACCTTTCCTTATCAAATGGAAATAGGTACTTCCAGATTTTTAATACCTAGAGAAAAGACCCTGGTGGATGTTTTTCCCTTTTTTTTTTTTTTTTTTTAATTCTGTCACACAACTGCTGCTCTACTATTTGCTTTTCTTTTAGGTACCATGAGTAAGGGTACTTTTACTGAAAGTAAAATTACATAGTCTTGACGAATGGGGTGAGAGTATGGGTTTTCACTGACTATGAATATTCGGAACTGCAAATCAAGAATCTGAGGATGGGGAAGCCATCCTATTCATTTCACCACACTATGTTATTGAAAAAAAAAATCACAGTTCTATGAACAATCCTTACTCTTGAAGAAGTTTCTTATAAAATTAAGTACATGAATATAGGAATACCAAAAGGCATTTTTGGAAAACAAATCTTAGGCAGACTTTCACCTATACTTGCAGTATTTTCTTCCTTCCTTCCTTTTTTTTTTTCTTTTTAAAGACAGGGTCTCCCTGTTACCCAAGCTGGAGTGCGGTGGCACAGTCTTGGCTCATTTGCAGCCTTGACCTCCCAGGCTCAAGCGATCCTCCCACCTCAGCTTTCCAAGTAGCTGGGACTACTGGTGCACACCACTATGCCTGGCTAATTTTTTGTACTTTTGGTAGAGACGTGGTTTTGCCGTGTTGCTCAGGCTGGTCTCGAACTCCTGAGCTCAGGCGATCCACCGGCCTTGGCCTCCTAAAGCGCTGGGATTATAGGCGTGAGCCACCATGCCCAGCCATTTGCAATATTTTCTATCCTTTGTTTTTTTGGGAAAGTTATAGTTCATATGCCTGAAGAAATGCTTTTAAATCTGGCTCCATGTGTCTCAGGCAGTTGGCATAAAATTGTGTATAGAGAAGAATATGGGGTGGGGGAGAAGCTTAGAAAGTTAGTGGAACATATCAGGTAAATAAAGTATGCTGATCACAAAGGTAGTCTCTTCTCTTTTTCTAATACTGTTTCCATGTAGCTCTTTCTTATACCATTTTCATCTCTTTTTTCACTCCCCAGTTCTATAAAATACTAAAACCAAAGCAATTTCTGAGGGACTGTACTTTTTTAAACTTCATATTTAGGGGTGTCTGATTTTTTTACTTGGACCCTGGCATCTCATTTCAATCATGATCAGACGGCCACCTTATTTACAGTTCATTAGTGAGGTAAAATATTAATTGAGCCTTGCTGTAAAATGCCACTTCTTATAATCCCTCCCTCTCCCATAAGTCTCTTTTACAAGAGAATGGGTTCTAGTTGTAAACTAATACTTTCTTGCCTTGATCCTTTTAGAAGTCCACAGGAAGATATGCTGAAAGCCAGAAAATAACATAACATAACATAAAAGTACTCATTGAATATAATGAACTTTTATGCCTGGCAAAAAAAAAAAAAAAAAAAAAAAAAAAAAAAAAAAAAAAAAAAAAAAAGATAAGTATTATCTAAGTTGCCCAGCAATTACATTTGAACAATCAATGTGAAGTATTAGAATGAAAGCTCTCATTTATTTAGCCCTTAATATGTGATGGGTCACTTACATGCATTTTTTCCCCTTGTAAAAGGCAACAGCATCATGAAAGTGTTCTTATCCTTACCTGTGAAGAAATTAGGCCTCAGAAAGCTCAAATAATATGCCAGTGGTCACATTGTGAGGAAACAGTAAGAATCAAGGATTTGAGGTCTGATTTGTGTTATTCTAAGGCCCATGTGTATTCTTCAGTATATACAGTGTGCTGCTGCTGCTTTCCAAGAGAGACTTTGATGTATTTGTCATGTAAGATGTGGATGCGTCTGTAGTCTTAGCTACTCAGGAGGCTGAGGCTGGAGGCAGTCGCTTGGGTTCAATTGCTTGAACCCAGGAGGCAGTGGTTGCAGTAAGCCAAGGTTGTGCCACTGTACTCCAGCCTGGCAACAAAACAATACTCTGTCTCAAACCTCCGCCCCACCCCTCCAAAAAAAAAAACAGATAGCCAAGCTATAATTACCAAAATACTGTGATATTAGTTCCAAAAAAAAAAAAGACCGTTAACACTTGAAACTTAAAGGTAACCCTGAAATGGTCTGTATTAACTGAAAAAGTCTATTCTATTGGATCAATTCCTAATGTAAATATTATACAAATGAGGAAGTGGTGATAGTTGTTTGTGGAAGAAAGTAATTGGGGAAGGAAATCCAGGTGAACGTTTTCAGGTGTAAATTTTCATTTGAGCATGATTTCTGTCCTAATTAATTCACTCAGTTGTCTGGTTGGAACTTAGTTTTCTACATCTTTTAAGATAAAAACAAAAAGTTACCTTTTGTTGATGAAATATGATTGAGAACATTTTGAGAATCTAATTTATTTCTTTGGCTATCTAGACTTTAGCAGCATTTAATAATTGCTTATTTGTGTAGACCACTATGCTGCACATAGCAGGAGCCAAGAAATGAGAACATTTTCTACTTCTCAAGCTGTTATTTTGTTGTCAGATATTAGTTATTAACTTTCCTATATGTCAATGTCCATTTCAGATCATCTAAATTTTAGTGAATAGAACAAGAAATCTAATTTGCAAAGTATCCTTGTAATAACTCTAAGATTTGTTTCAATTTGTGATCCACTTATGCAGTAATTCAAAGCCTCTCATTTCCCTGAACTAAGACTTTATATGTTATATAAAACTATATGTAAGTCTTTACTGGCAAAATAATAGGCTGAATTGATAGAAGAATTTACTGAGACAGACATTTTTTAGCAGAAATTTATAGGAAGGTGGGGTGGAAGAAGGCTTAACTGAGTTCTGGAACAAATTGGTACAAAAAGGTAAGAGTGATTACTTTGAAACTGAAATTTGATGGCAAAAATGAAGGGACAACACCTAAGGTATTTGAAAATGAAAAGACCACTTATAAAGGGGGTTAATAAGCAATGATATTGGTGGATATGCAAAAATAGCTTTTTAAAAATGTAGAGTGACTTGGATTTAATACTTGATGACAGTAATTAGACAAGTTTTTGGGAACCAGGCATTGAATAATTAGGTGAAGTGCTTTTTAAAAAAATCTGGTTTTACTTTTTGAATTAAGAGAAAATGCTAGTAATTGGAGCTGTTAATTTTCTCAGAAAAAAATAACAATTGATTTTTTTGTATTTTCAGAGTGTAATGAATTTTACAACTTGTCATCTCTGCCATATTATATATAGAGACTATTGTAGTCTAAATGGGCAATTTTTTTTTCTTTCAAATTTGAGACAAGATCTTGCTCTGTTGCCCAGGATGGAGTGCTGTGATGTGATACTGGCTCACTGCAACCTCTGCCTCCAGGGCTAAAGTCATCCCCCACTCAGCCCCCTGAGTAGCTGGGACTACAGGCACATGCCACCACATCCAGCTAATTTTTAAATTTTTTGTAGAGATGGGTTTTGCCATGTTGCCCAGGCTAGTCTTGAACATCCTAGCTCAAGTGATCCACCTGCCTTGGCCTCCCAGAGTGCTTGGATTATAGGTGTGAGCCACTGTGCCGGGCCCTAAATGGACAATTTGATGTTTAGCCTGTGAACATGCACTTTTTAGATGTCTTATTTCTTCATTCAGCTGACATTTGAATATTAATTATATAGATAGACTCTATTGGAGGTAGGCAAGTTAGAATCTTTTCTGTCTAATGAGGATGTTAAAACACATAAAATATTTGATTATGAGTCATTATGGTAAGTATAGAAATGAAAAGGCTTATTTCTATATGTACTATAGGGTGCATTTTAATATGATTATTTCCTTTTCCATGGTATATTTATTTCTATTTCTTTATCTTCGTTTCCTTTCCTTTTCCTTTTCCTTTTTTCTTTCTTTTCTCCTTTCCTCTTTCCCCTCCCCTCCCCCCCTTCTCCCCTCTGTTGACATAGTGTTTCACTCTGTCACCCAGGCTGGAATACAGTGGCCCAATCTCGGCTCACTACAACTTCCTCTGCCCCTGCCTCAGCCCCCACCTCCCAGCTGCCCACCTCAGCCCCGCAGGTAGCTGGGATGACAAGCTCACACCACCATTCCTGGCTAACAAAAATTAGCTAGGGTGTGTGTGTGTGTGTGTCTCAGTGTTGTCTGTGTCTCTATTTTTCATAGAGATGAGGTTTCACCATGTTGCCCAGGCTTATCTGGAACTCCTAAGCTCAAGCCATGGCGCCCTGCCTGCTGTGTGTTTCTTACTCTGAGTCTTTGGCATTTGATAATGTAATCATTCCTTAGACTCCTTTCTTATTTATGAAAGGTGGTACAGTTTCAGGACTGTGATTTGGGAATCTTTTTTCCTCTCAAGAATGCTCACCAATAAAACATTTTTTTTTTCTTGGCAGAGGTTACGCACAGAAAATAGACTTTTAAAACAGCGCATCGAGACATTAGAAAAAGTAAGTGACTACTTACGCAAGCTTCTGTTGAATGCCTAGTGTTTTTTGTGTGTATTTATTAAAAATCCTCAAAAATTCTGGCATACATCTCCTATGTTGTAGTATTGACTGCTTAACTACCCTACCTTACTATTTATAGCCAGATAACTTGTTACTAACAAAAATTGATCAGTTGTACTGGTTCTTTTGAACTTTCATAGTCAAGTTTTAACTGAGATTAAGAGTAACATATTAATACTATTTGTTTTCTTTACACATAATTTCTAAAAAGTATGTTCTTTTAGAATCCAGTTGGGAGTCCATTCTGATAAAGCATTTTAAAGAAGAGTTTCAAATGTTGCCCTAAACTTTCTAGCATATTTAATGCACCAGTGAGTCCTTTAAGGCCTAGGATTGCTTTTAGTTGAAGTGACTGACTGATTCCTTACATAAAAATTCACTCTCAAGTTGATTTTCAGCACCAAGGAATTGTGCATAAGCTTTTAGTCCTTAGAATTATTTTGATATCTACTTGTTACATTTTCTCTGTTTCATATAGAATAACTGGGCAAATGTGGAAATTTTGCATTATTTTTCATATGTGCTTTTGATGAAAAATCTTTTATAGTGATTTTCAGATGCTAGAAGAATGAATTGAGTAGTAAAAGTCTGGTTTTAAGAATTTTGCTTTATTGAAGGAAAAACATCTGAATTCACAAACTCTTTTGGTGTTTTTTTTCTTTTTTTTCCTGAGTTAGAGTCTTGCTTTGTCACCCAGGCTGGAGTGCAGTAGCAAGATCTCGGCTCACTGCAGCCTCCGTCTCCCTGGTTCAAGCGATTCTCCTGCCTCAGCCTCCTCAGTAGCTGGGACCACAGGCATGCGCCACCACACAAGGCTAATTTTTGTATTTTTAGTAGAGACAGGGTTTCACCATGTTGGCCAGGATGATCTCGACCTCCTGACCTTGTGATCCGCCTGCCTCGGCCTCCCAAAATGCTGGGATTATAGGCATGAGCCACTGTGCCTGGCCACTTTTTTTCTTTTCTTTTTTTTTTAACTAGAGATGACAGTAAGTAGATTTAAACATACCCCTCATCATATTGCCAAGGATCTTAAAATCTTCCCTGCAAATCTACAGATAAAATTCAAGAAATAAATAAATGGAAGTGTGGATATTTTACAGTATATGTCTTTTGCTTAAAAAGTATTGATGATTTCCTATTGGATAAAAGTGTATAAGGACAGGATATTTATTACGTGTCTGCCTTTGTTGTATAATAATTGCAGAGACATCCTTTTAAGTCAAAAATAGTTTCCCTGTTTTTCTCTCATCATGTTAGGATTGCTATGAGGATAATTCTACTTTTGGTGACTCCACAGGAAGGTTGAGCTTACTTTTAAGTTGTTTTAATTGTATACTCTTTTTTCTCATTAAATATCTAGCTTACAATCAAATATGCATTTTCTTAGTTTTTTTGTTTTTGTTTTTGTTTTTTAATCTTTGGAGTAAGACATTTAAACCAGGAAAGCATTCTTATTTCATGGAACCTTCGGAATGATAACGATGTTGTAAGAAAATATTGTTCCTTTTTTTACTGGCTTAGATGGCCCAGGTGTGTCACTTAGCACTTAGAATTCTATAAATACTATGTATCAATTGAAATCTGTAATAAAAAAGTATACTTGCTCAGTTATTGCTAAAGTTTAAGTTTAGCGTATTAATTTTTTCATATTTTCCTTGCTTTGTTTCTTTGAAAGTTGCTGTTGCACAAATTGCTGTCACACTTTATAAGTAGAATTGCTTACTCAAATTCCTTCTTCCTTTCATGTAAGTGGGTTGACAATATGGGTTAAGTCTAAAAGATATAAAGATAGCAAAAGAGGAAGAAATATTTGGCCAAGTGCAGTGGCTCATGCCTCTGATCCCTGCACTTTGGGAGGCTGAGGCAGGAGGATTGCTTAAGGCCAGGAGTTCAGCACTGTCCTGGGCAACATAGCAAGACTGTATCTGTACAAAAATTTTAAAACTAGCTGGGCATGTGGCATACACCTGTAGTCCTGGCTGCTCAGGAGGCTAAAGCAGAAGGATCACTTGAGCCCAGGAGTTGGAGGTTACAATGAGCTATATGACCATGCCATTGCATTCTGGCCTGGGTGACAGAGTAAGACTCTGTCTCTATTTAAAAAAAAAAAAAAAAAGACATTTGCTTGTTCCAGGTAATGAAAAACCGCTTGGAATTTGTGTTTGGTATCTTCTGGAAACACATGATTTTCAACTAGCTATCCTTGTTTTCGTATATTTTTCTTAAGGTTTAAAAATAGAAACATTCAGTAAAAAATAATATATTTAAGTCCATTTTAATTAGCAATGAAAAGTAGATGGAATTTGGGTATATTTGTTTCTTTTTTCCTAATTTTATCACTTTTATCTTCTTTCTCTTATATTTCTATCTGAATTTTTCCTTTTGTAGGAAAGTGCTTCCTTGGCAGATAGATTGATACAGGTATAGTTTTTGTTTTTATTTTTTAAACATCTTCTCTAACTTCTAAGCAAAGTCCTAAACCTCGAAATTCATATTTTAATGCATGCAATTTTATATGCATTTTCTTAGAAATAATTTTTTTGGGCGGTATATGTGGGTATAAACTTAATTTTTTATAACAAGGTGTTATCTTGGTTTATTTTTGCACGTTTTAAAGCTAACCTTATTTTTTTAAGTATTTATTTCAAAATGGCAATCAGTGAATTCTGTGAAATTAACTACTATTTCGTTGAAAATTTTAGTACTGCATGTACAACTCAGTAATATTGCATGAATTAAATTTTTATTGACTGAAAGAAGATTTGTTCTTAAGATTGTCAGGTGAATTTTTCATTAGTTTCCCAAAATTTGCTGGAGCAATAACAAGCTGCTAGCTAATGGTTACCTAGGCTGTTCTATTCGCTGAGGTGACTTTTTTTTTTAACATGTCAAAGTAAATAACTAAACCTCACAAAGGCAGTCTTTCTTGAATCTATCCTAAATTGCTTTACACACAAAAAAATTATGTCCTAAGGGACAAGTGACAAGAGCCCAGGAGGCTGAGGAAAACTACCTCATAAAACGGGAGTTGGCCACCATCAAACAGCAGAGTGATGAGGCCAGTGCTAAGCTGGAGCAAGCTGAAAATACCATCAGGAAGCTCCAGCACCAACAACAATGGGTAAGGAGTCTGGTAGTGCTTTTCTCACCTTTCTCATCCCCTTCCCTTTCAGTCATTTTTTTTTTTTTTTTCATAGCACAGATTCTGTGCTGTTGTTTTAAATAATTTTGTTTTCAACTTTAATCGAACTTTTAAATTATTCCATTTTATGTTCTGTGATACTTAGGGGTCTTATTGTGGCCTAAAGACTCCTGTTCTAATTTTTTTTTCTGTCTACACTGTTTTGTTAGAAATAGGTAATACAATCTTTCCTTATACTATGTTTTAAGTCATGGGAAATAAGCAGTGTGTGTGTCAGAATTGCTTTTAAGTTTTTAGAAATCTGTTTTTATAATAGATACCATTTTGCTAACAGTAATTTTTAAATCCTTCAGCTAGTTTTTGTTCATTGTGCAGATGAAATATTACCCAACATACAGAATATATGTAATGATCTCATTTAAAGCTTTGACAATGTGGCAATTTATGTCTTAGGAAATTCTATTGCTTAGACTTCCTACATCAACACATTGAATTATGGGTTAAAGTTTATGTCTGTATTTCAAAGGGAAAGAAGTTGCAAAGATGAAAAAGATTAACCCTTTAAAAATTATCTTAATGAACCTAGGGTGTGTTTCTAATTGTCTTAATCAACCTAGGGTGTGTACTCAACAGTTACTAATTGTATAGCTAGCCTCAGGTATCTTACATAGCATAGACATTTTCCATTGGCAAATTCAGACTCGGGTGATCTTAATCAGGAATATGAGGGTAAAAGAAAAGCCAAACTGTTTATCTTTGAAAAGATACCATTTCTTGTTTAGTTTTCCATCCTCAAGTAGGTGCTAGATTGTAATAAGCAGAAAAAGCTGTGTTAATCCTAGAACTCTGCAGATCTAGAAGGCAAATAGAGTGGCTACAAAGTAGGACATTCTTTTTACTCAGTAAAGTTAAGGAATAGCATTATCATCTTGGTACAAAAAAAATCAAAGAAAAGAAAAAAGAAAAACTGGCAATTGAAAGAGCCGTAAACATAGTTTTTTTCTATTATGTTATTGAAGATTGCTAAAAAAAAAAAAAAAAATGAATAGGAGAGTGATAAAATAATACTAAAAAGAAGGGAACTTATATTTTGCTCCCCTTTTGTATGAAATGCCAGTGATATCAAAGCATTAAAAAGAAAAAAAATTGGGGAGTTATGTTAGGAATTTAGCTTGAAATAAGTTACTTTAATGTGATTTTTTAAAAGAAAAGACAGTGTTGTTTGCATTTAGTATAAGCTGCAGTCATAATACATTAGAATCATGAGTTAAATTTTTTACATTTTTTTCAAACATTGAGACCTATATAGATAGATGTATATCAAAGGGTTAGAATGTGGTTTATAGTGAAAAATTTAACTTGGTTGTTGTAACCAATCAAGTTGAATGGAAAGCACCACACTCCGAGTTCGAATTAAGAGTCCTTTATTGCCGGTGACTGAGTGTCAACTCACGCTCCAAATCTCTCCGCCCCGAGGAAGGTATTTGATTTCCTTTTATATGTTGCTCAGGGTAAAGGGGCAAAGCAGAATTTTACAGAAGCAAAATAAGCAAGTTAGGGGAGGAGGCTGGTAACTAGGAGGCAGGAGGCTTCCATGATTGTTGATTAACTAAGAAGGGTATACACAAGTGGTTCCCACGATTACTGGTTAACAGGGTGGGGGCGGGGGTGCATTCGGTGCTTTCCATACACTCAATCAAGGGGGTATTCACAATAGCAAGTGGGCTTGTCAAGTAGGATAAGGTTATAACAGTTATATGTTTCTATAGCTCTAAGTACAACATGACCCAGCACAGGAACATGACCCAGATATGCACTCAGGAGAAATGGTGGTGGGGGGGTGAGGCGGAGGTTAAGATGGAGTCTGTCTGACTTTCAGCAAAATGGAGTCTGTCTGGCTAATACAGGGTAGGTTAGCACATGGTGAGCAAAACTGACCAGAATAAACTGAATAAGCATATTACTGGTAGAAAGTAAACATCTATTGTCCAGTGTTTTGATTATAGCCTTCCAATACAACTTTATGAATTCTTCAAACTCTCAGAATAAGGGTTTTAAATCTGTATTCCAGCAGGAGGTATTGAATTACCAATATTAACCATCCTTCACTACCACTCCCTACTGCCAAATAGTGGCAATTTATATGATATAAAGAGCTTTGGATTTCATTTAGGGAACTAGATTCTCGTTCTGTTTGTGATCTTATATACTCAGAGACAGTTTTTTGTGTGGTTTTTTTTTCCTCCCAGATGATTATAAATAGGGCTAGATCTTCTTGGGCCTCTCTCTTTCCCTTTTAAAATTAACTTTATTAAAGTATAATTTACATGTAATAAAATTCATCAAATGTAAGTATGTAGCTTGATGTATTGGAAATGTATGTGGTTGTGAACAACTACCACAATCAAAACAAAGAATATTTCTATCATTCCCTTTACGGTTCACCAACCCCAACCGCAGCAACCTGTCTGCTTTCTGTCACTGTAGTTTTACCTCTTGTAGAATTTAATATAAATGAAATTGTAAGGTATGTGACTTTTATGTCTGGCTTCTTTCACTTAGCGTATCTATTCACTTTTTTTGATGATTTTTGAAAGTTTTATTTGTGATTGATACATCAAATCAGAATAATTAGCCAACACATTGATTACCTCAAACACATTATTTCTTTGTGGTGAGAACATTCAAAATCCTCTCTTCTAGCTATTTTCAAATATATAAGACATTATTGTTAACTGTAGTCACCTTACTGTGCAATGTAACACCAGAATTTATTCTTCCTATCTAAGGGTAACTTTGTACCTGTCGACCATTCTCTTCCTATCACCATGTTCCCAATCCCCTCGCTAGCCTCTGGTAACCACTATTCTATTCTCAGTTTATATGAGATGAACTTTTTTAGATTCCACATATGAGTGAGATCATGTGGTGTTTGTCTTTCTGTGTCTGGCTTATTTTACTTAACATAATGTCCTGTAGGTTCATCCATGTTGTCACAAATGACAATTTTTATTTTTTTTAATGGCTGAATTTTGTTTTGTTTTGTGAGACAAAATCTTACTGTCGCCCAGGATGGAGTGCAGTGGTGCGATCTTGGCTCACTGCAACCTCTGTCTCCCGGGTTCAAGTGATTCTCGTGCCTCAGCCTCCCGAGTAGCTAGGATTACAGACACCCGCCACCAGGCCCGGCTAATTTTTGTATTTTTAGTAGAGATGGGGTTTCACTATGTTAGCCAGGATGGTATCGATCTCTTGACCTCATGATCCACCCACCTTGGCCTCCCAAAGTGCTGGGATTACAGATGTGCACCACCACGCCTAGCCTGAATAGTGTTATTTTTATACATTTAGGAGATACAAGTGTGTTTTATTACATGAATGTATTTCATAGTAGTGGAGTCTGGGCTTTTAGTTAACCATCACCTGAATAGTAGACATTGTATCCATGAGTTAATTTCTCATCCATCATCCCTTTTCACCCTGTTACCTTTCTGAGTCTCCAGTGTCTATTATTCTACCTGTATGTCCATGTGTATACATTATTTATTTCCATTTGTAGGTGTGAGTATGCAGTATTTGACTTTCTGAGTTATTTTACTTAAGATAATGTCCTCTAGTTTTATCCATGTTGCTGCAAAAGACATAACTTCATTCTTTTTAATGACTGAGTAATATTTTATGGTGTATATACACATCATTTTTTTTTTATTTAGTCATCTATCAGTGGACTCTTTGGTTGATTCCATATCTTTGCTATTGTGAATAATGCTATGAGAAATATATGAATACAGGTATCTTTGATATAATAATGATTTTTCCTTTGGGTAGATACTCAATAGTAGGATTGCTAGATTGAATGGTAGTTCTATTTTTAGTTCTTAGAGAAATCTCCATACCATTTTTCATACGGGTTGTACTAATTTTCATTCCCACCAGTAGTTATAAAAGTGTCCCTTTTTCTCCACATCCTCACCAATATCTGTTATTTTCTGACTTTTTAATAGCCATTCTGACTGGTGTGAAATAGTATCTCATTGTGGTTTTAATTTTAATTTCTCTGATGATTGGTGATGTTGAGCATTTTTTTCATATGTTAGCCATTTGTGTGTGTGTCTTCTTCTGAAAAACGTCTGTTCATGTCCTTGGCTCACTTTTTTTTTTTTTTTTCTTGTAAATTTGTAAGTTCCTTATAGATGCTGGACATTAGACTTCTGTCAGATGTATGGTCTGAAAATAGTTTCTTCTATTCTGTAGATGGAGTCTCACTCTGTAGCCCAGG